TATGAGAGGCAGTAATGTCATTTTACAAAACGAAAATATTACTCTGAGGTCCCTTGGGACCTGTTAGTGATTTTGACATTTCGTGGGACCTCAGAATAATAAATTGCCTTCTGTGGGACCTGTACGTAATTTTCCCTTTAAAGAATGACCCAAAAGAATAGTGAAGATTTGGGTATTATAATTCTCATATAAAAATCCCAACTTTAAAGATGCGAAAATAAGAATATTCATGATATATAGTCCGAATTTGAAAATATCAAACTCATTCAATTAAGGAGTACGCATGAATCTAACCATATTTGGGGATTGGGTGCAGCTTGAAGGTTCCGAGCATGAAGAAAATAGGAGTCATATATGAAATCTTTCACAACACAAGAAAGACAGATGATGTCATGTGACGAGAATGGAATGGAGGTGGAAACCCACATGCATCAGGAAGACGGGTAAAAATTAAAAATGAATAATTTTTTAAATTAAATCTAATAATAAAAATAAATAAATTACACGTTATTCATATTATTAATAAATGATAAAAACCAACGAATAAGATTTGTAACTGACGCTAAATTATTTGTTTAGATGAAAGTACAAAATTTGTCCAAAAAAAAAATTAAAACACAAAAGTAGGAGCATTACAATCTCTTAAAAAAAAGTATTTTCAAGCAACTTAAGACAATTTCTTTTACATAAATATTTCATATACTGTAAAATTATTTTTAAAAAAATAATTCTTAGTCAGGTTTATAAACCATTCCAAACAAATCATCAGTGAAATGACAAAAGTAGTCTTGATGTCTCGTGCATTCCACAGTTGCATCTTGACGTTGAGTTCATAATTCTACTTGCACGAGGACGGACGGTGGAAAACGTGTTTTCTCTCCTACATATGTGGAGAGATCTCATCCACCCTCTCTCCCTTGTTTAAAGAGGAGAACACTGATTTTCCTTTCTATTTTACTCTTGAGTTTTCTCTTCTTTTTAATTTTGTCTCCATTCGATTCATATCCTTCCAATTGCAGTGTCTGATCCCTCACCTCTGTTTTTTCACTACTTAATTGGTCTTAGTTTGGTCGGAAACCTTTTCGGTTTGAAATTTTTTTTGTTTTCGTTCCCACAATGCCAACCCATTATTTGCAATATTTGGCAATGTTATTTTAAAGGGTTTGTGCCTTTTCGAGTTTTAGAAAAATTAAAACTGATTCGTACCCTTTCTATTGCATTGGAATAAGAATTTGGTGGGTTGTATTTCTCATAACATTGCTTCCTTAGAATTGGAGTTGCAATGTTGCCATGAAGAGGTTAGTTTTGGTTTACCTTTGCAACATCACCTTTGTGATTTGTGTCCCTAGTTGGACTTTTGGTGCGATTGTGAGGAGTCTCTTCAGGCGCAACGTGCCAGTCAAAATTGGTTATTTCAAGGGGATAGGAATACTAATTTTTTTTTTTTCATTGTCAGGCTAGTCAGAGGCGCATCAAGCATGTTATATTTTGTATACAGGATTCAAGTGGACATTGGTTAGAAAATCAAGCGGACATTCAAAAGACAGCTACCTCTTACTTTCAGGAAATTTTTGAGGCACTGGGAATGATTGATTATGAGTGAATGAAACAAACTTTGACCCATATTATTTTTCCTTATCTCTCCTTTCATCATGTGGACATTTTGTCACAAGATATTTTTGCCAAGGAGATTGGGGTTGCTGTTTTTCAATTAAAAGCTGAAGGTTACCATGCAAGGTTCTATCAGACTTATTAGGGTATCATAAAGAATGATATTATTCCTATGATTATGCATGTGTTTAGGCGAGGATATCTATTGAAGGAATTAAATCGTTCTTTCATTGTTCTCGTACCAAAGTGTAACCATCCGAAGGCATTTAAGGACTTTTGAACGGTAAGTCTTTGTAACGTTTTCTATAATGCAATCGGTTAAAAGTTATCTTGGGAGATTTGATTACACCCAATCAGAATGCTTTTCTTAAAGGTCGACTGATTACTGACAATGTTCTCTAGGCTTCAGAATGTATCGCAAAAATAAAAAGACCCATTAGGCCAAAGATGGTCTGTGTGCTTTCAAAGTTAATATTGCAGAAGCTTATGACACGGTATGTGCTTCAAAAAATGGGGTTTCCACCAACTTGGGTACAGTTGCCGGAGCAATGTGTTACAACTGTTTCCTACCTGGTTGTTGTTGATGGTGTTCCAGGACAAACATTTAAGCCTTCCCAAGGTTTGCGACAGGGAAACCCTTTGTCACCTTATACGTTTTTTTTTTTTTTTGGGGTGCGTAAATGTACTGTGTTGTATGATTAATCAAGCTGCAAGTTTTGGTCGGTGGAAGGGGATAAAACTTTCTCGTTGTGCAGAACCGTTGACTCGTTTAATGTATGGTGAAGGCATGTAACTTTTTCGCGGTGCAACGATGGAAGATTGTCGTGTTTTAGAAGCTATTCTAGCACGATATAGTTTGATTTCAAGACAGCATATTAATTACCAAAAATGGTTCTTGGTTTACAGTCCATTTATGCCCCATAGACAGAGACATTCTCTGGTGAATGTTTTGGGAGTCAAGTTCCATTCTTGTTTAGATAAATATTTGGGGACTTTTATTGATGGTGTACGTCCGAAGGCTCGAGTTGCAGGGGATGCGTTACACAAGATGGATTGTCGTTTGGCTGGTTGGAAGAGTAAGTTACTTTCTCAGGCTGGAAGGACTCTTCTCATTCATACCACTCTGTCATCTTTATTGGTTTATCCTATGTCCTGCATCAGTTTCTCCCATTATGTTTGCCAGCACATTACTAAGAAAATGACTAAGCTTTTTTGGGGCTCAACAGACCACCATCATAAGGTTCATTTTGCATCATGGGATGAATTGTGTTATCCAGTGGAACAAAGGGGTCTATAGTTTCGAAACATTCATTTTTTCAACCAGGCCTTGCTTGCAAAACAATTTTGAAGAATTGTTAGGGGAACTGTTTCACTTTTGAGCTTCTTCAGCAAAAATATAATCGTTAGGGTTTATTTTATAATTTACTTACGGTTGAAGGATTTTTTAAAGTCCGGTGAGATCATTCTTAATCATCTTACTTGGCGAATTGGGGATGGTATGTTTGTTTCTTTAGACGACAGGCTTTAGTGGCCTTTGAAACAGTTTGGTTGCCCTTTCTCTAATATGAAAGTTGCAGACCTCACACTTCGCGATTGGAGAAGTTGGGATTTCAGGAAGTTATATTCCCTTTATCCAAGTAATGTGATTAGGAATTTTCATCTTCACCCTTTGCCTATATTTGCCTCAGCTGATGTTCTTTGCTGGGAGAAAAGTAACTCAGGTCTGTATACAGTGAAAGCAGGATATCAGTTGTTGCAGACGCAACGTTCCACTATGCCTTGTTTGTGTCCTAAAGTGTCTAGTCTTTGTTCGAAAATTTGAAAGCTAAAGCTGCAACCTAGAGTTAAAATTTGTGGACACTTTTGCGGAATATTCTACCCACTTCGGATCTTTTGAGGCGACGTCTTTTTTCGATGGATATGAATTGTTGTCATTGTTCAGGTAAGGAAGAATCTTTGGAACATATTTTCTTACATTGTCCTTTTGCAAGAGCTTGTTGGTTTGGTTCTTCTCTTGGTATTCGAGTTGACTCTTTTCCCAATCGTTTTTTGCTGAAGTGGTTTAAATGTTGGTTTAGTTTGCTTGAGGATTTAGATGACATTACTTCTCTTCCTTTTTACATCTTGGATTTCTTCTGGTATGCTCCAAATCAAGCCTGTTTTAGGGAAAAGATCAAGTGTTTTACAGGTTATAAAAAGTGCAGCTATAAAAACTTCCTGCAAGGAACCTTCTGCTCCTCATGGTACCAGAAACTCAGAGAGACCACAGTACATGTTTCCTATTTCGCCTTTGCAATCTCTGGCTTTTGTTTTAGGAACCATACTGGTCTGTCTTTTTTAGCATTTGCAAACTGAAGCAAGTTACAAGATTAGTATCCGTGAGATGTGCAGCTGTGGGTGCTAAGAGATTGTCTTTATTACCTATTTGCCCTTTCTGTGAATCCTGCTGCAAATTTGTTTGCATTGTACATCCGGTTGTCTAAGGATTGGGTTGTTGACAGAGCATGATGGCGTCGTGTGATTCATGTAGCCGACTCCACCTAGTGAGATAAGGCTTGTTGTTGTTGTACATCCGGTTGTCAAAAAAATCTCATATTCGTATGCTACAATGTCAAAATTTGGTTCCTTAGTTTCCTCATCCTCTTTATCATCAGGACATCTGTTTCTTTCTCCGTTATTTTGTCTGCAACAATTTTGTATTTTAGTTTTTTTTGCAAAATAGTTAATGTCTTTTATCAGGGGGGAAAAAAAAAATCCTTGTGTCTAACACCTCAACCGTACCTTCACATCATTAGTTTGTCTCTGAGAAAAATACTCGAAGTGTTAATTCTCTTGTTTTTAACGCCTTAACAAGTTTCAATATTTATTAAGTTCGATTTTTGTGCAAATTTCTATATGAGCATTTAACTCCCTATCGTTGTTGCGTTATCCAGCATCTTGTGAAAAATCATAGTTTTGAGTTCCCTAACCTAATGCATTAATGAGTCATTTGGAATACTTAATCCTTACGCTACACTAAACACACAAGTCTTCTAAACTTAAAAAACACTTCAATTGTTATATTTTACCCAACAAATGGAAGGCAAATTACTCCCACAAACACTCTGCAACTCTAATGCAGAAAGAGAAAGAAGCTTAAAGAATCAAGCAAACTGATATATGTAAACATGTATATGTGTGAACTTCAAAGCACCATGACATTCAAACTCAAAATTAAACTAAAAAATTAAACAATATTCTTAAAAAATCTAAAATAATATTCTCCCAGTAGAGATAGATATTGATGAAGGTCAACACGTATGTTTTCCCTAGTACAACTAGACCAATCAAAGCCTTTTAAGGTGCTTCCAGCACAACCCGATCAGCCTATCACATCAAATAGGCATTTCTCATATTAATAGTTTTTCAATGGCATCCTGCATTACCATCAAGTACTCAGATTTTGCAGGTTTATATAAATCACAGAATGAGATAAACATTAATATTATGAAGCTTCCCAGAAAAAAAAAAAACTGTTAACCATAAAGCCATAGATAGTTCATTACCTTAAGTTGTTGTATTTGGGATTTCAGTTGACTTCCCTCGCCACTCAACACTGAACTTGCAATCACCGGCCGGGTGACGCTGCATGCTCGCCCAAGAGATTGCTTTGATGGCACAAACACATAGGGCACATTCTGTGAATTCCAATCAGAAAACTTGCATGTTCATACTCCGACAAATATACAAACACGCTGAGACAAGCACAAGTAAAGGCCAAAATAATTAAGTCTATAACACCCACAAAACAAAATCCTAGAAAATACAAACTTAATAAAAGCAGCAGGAATGGCTAAGATACTAATGAAGCATTCTCCTATGTTGATAGACAAGCATGAGCTCAAGTGGAAGGTAACTATTTGTGCACTAAACTTATGAATTGTTTTTTCCATAATTGCAATAAGATTATCCAGTAAATATTTTATGTGTGAAGGACTTTTTTTTTTTGGGGGAAGACCCAATTATGTGTTGTTGAGAAAACGAAAATTTCTACTTGTAATGTTTTATTGAATAATTACATCTAAGTTTTTTTCATTACCTTATACTCATCCCACCAAAACTTACAAGTTGATACATGCAGCATTCTTTATTACCATTATAATAGAAATTAGGATCCTCTATGAATTATATATGGCAAGACTAGAAATATACCGGTACAAATTTGCCAATTCACACAAGTAATGTGCACCCAAAAAAAAAAATCAACTATAGAAATAAATGACCTCACTGTATCTAATGAAATATTACGCAGGTAGGTATAACGTACATATTAATAGCGTTCTATAAGGGGTTGCATTGTACACAAGTAACCTGGTAACTTTCATGCTGCACAACTATGGCAGGCAAACACTAAATGTGGTAGAGCAGTCTATGCTGTGCAACAAGCTAGTATTAAAAAGCCCTGACTTTTGACAATCTGCCATTTTCACATTCTATTTCTTCGCCTCTTTGCCAATAAATCCAAATTCTTGCGGAGAGTCCCATTTTCCAGAGGTTAGGGGCAGTGTTAGACAGGTAACCAGAAGACCCTGCTGCACTTTGCATTCTAAACGCACATTTTCATGTTTCTCACTTATGCAGAAACTCTCAACTTGACATAATTATGACTTCATGGAGAGAACATGAGTGAAAGAGGCCAATAATCCATTCCATGGAGCTTTGAGCTTCCTTCACAACATCAGGCAGAGGGTATTCAGGCTTCAGCATTGCCAGGGGGACACAAAATTCTTTGGTTCATTTAGTCAGTGCTGTCATAAAAGTATATGATGATCATGATAATGCAAGACCAACATGGATAGTGAAGACTTAGACCACATCTATGTAGCAGATGAATTGCATTTCAAGCAATCACAAAATTTAATGACAGAAAAATGGAAATGAAAGAAGAAGAAATAACTTTAAAGCAGAAGTTACCTTATCTTCAGCAAGCAGAGGAAGATGGAGAAGAATCTCAAGTGGCTCGGCGTCTGCCGCCATGACTATAAACTCAGAAGTACCAACTCAGAAGTACCCCTGTTTGGCGACTTGGTTGCTGAAACCAACAAAACTTGTTGCAAGGGCAAGACTAATACATACAGATGCATATACATCCATGCAAACACGTGTGTGTGATAAAATTAATATAAATATGTAAAGCAGAAAAATACAAAACATAATGTACTAAATAAATTAATATTATGAATCAACAAAAGCCAATAGTAATCGCTTCTAAAAAATGTTTTTTCAAGAAAAGTGTTGATAAGTTGCCCAAAATGTTGATCACAAGGTATTTACCCAAAACAAAGGGGGAAATCCGCAAAAGGAAAAAAGGAATGAATCAAGTAGAAGGGTATAGAAAACACCGACCTTCATTAGCACCCTTTTTGAGCAGCTTGTAGCTGGCAGCTTGTTGAACGAGATCCCTAATAGTTATGGTGAGTTGTGCATCAGCCAAAGGGTAAGCTTTTGGATTCACTGCCTCTCCTGGAGAATCAACTTTGATTAATTTGGTGAAAATTTTGAAATGATTGATAATTAGTGACTACCGATATGGGATCATGTTGGGCTTCCTTTTGACAGCTGTGATTATTTATCAAGCATCCTTCGTTGATTAATATTACCTTCGGTTCTTAATATAAGACCTTATTTGACTTTTATTTTGATCCTTAATATAAGGCCCTAATCTATTTTGTCTCTCATATTTATGTATTTTTTTTCCTAAGATAGTCCTTCTAATAATAGTAGTTCTAGCCAATATACTTTATTAGCAAGGATATTTTGGGAAAAACAATACGTATTTATTACAAATAACTAACTTAACGTCTTTCCTTAATCTCCTCAGATTAATCAACTAGCTCTTATAAATAGGACCGGAGGTAGCATTTTCATAAAATAATTTTTGTCTATTTTTATTTTCATCCTCCACTCGGGAGACACCCATCATATTCATCAAAAGAAGGTCCCTCTTTGATCTTAAAATTCATTCAAGAGTTTGCACTTGGCCTTAGATATGAAGTAATTTCTTATAACACCTGTTTACTGCGTAAACATTTGTACCTCTATGCACTAAATTATTGAAAAAATACTTATAACAAGTTTATTATATCTTCATGTTAAATTCTCTAATTACATATAATCTTGTGTTCTATTTTTTCATGTGAATAATTAGAAAACACTACATGACCAGATGGATAACATGCTTGTAATTTTTAATGGTGTCACGTTGTATTTTTAGCCACGTAAGATAATTATTTGATAACTAAAAATAAATTATATATAATAAAGATTAAATTATTAAATATGTCAAGATTAAGGACTGAATTATAATGAATTAAAAGTTTAGAAACAAAATTACACTGAATCATAATTGAGATATTTAAGTTATAAGTGAATTAAAATTTGAAAAATAAAAATTTAACTTCCCCCATTTTCTAATATCATAATAGATGGATTTGGTTTGTCAATGACACTAGACCTTTCAGGAAGCCAACGAGTGGGATCAAATCCCATTTTGACCATCTGAGTACGAAGAACCGACACAGACTGCCAGCAGCCACAGAGGCTCCACGCCTATTGGCAGCTGGTGTGGCGGGTTGCCCTTGCTTAAAAAAATGAAAGATAACATTGTAAATTCATTAACAGCTTAAAATTTCAATTTAATCATGAATATTAATTTGAATTTCCTTTGTTTTTAAATTTCAAAAGCTATTTCTGTGAAATTTTTCCAATTATATACGTATCATATATATAATATGTACTTTTCAGTCATTTCACATCTACATTTGCTATTTAATTATATCACCCAAAAAAAAATTCAATTTGTTAAACTAACTAAAAAAAAAAATCTAAAGTTAAATCATATTATACTTATTTAACTTTTACCTAACCACAGTCTGCAAAATATAGTTAGGATGATCAATCTTGCAAACATTAATCTAAGACCAGGGCATAGGCGGCTTCGAGTTTCCATTTTGAATTGGACTAAACAGGCATACAACTTATTCTTCTCAGGAAAATAAAATTTTCTAACGCCTCAGGAACGAAACCCATTTTCCAGAGTCTTGCTGGAAGTTAATTTCCTTCGAACCACATTTCCTCCCAACAAAACCCCGGGAAATGACTTCTTCAGTTTCTTTTCCATTTCTCAACTCCAGTTTCCAGCGAACCACATGCCAATCTGGATGACCGACTTGATGAATTCTTGATGAAGCGAATGGAAGAAAAGAAGTGATAGGGGAAAGTTCAATTTTAACCTCAACTTCCCATCTAAATCAAAAATTTCTCCACCTTTTTCTCTGGCTCTCTTTAATCCATTCAAACATATCCAAAAGAGGAAAATATATTCAAGCAAATCTCCCCATATATATAAATATTTGAATAAGAATAATACCTCAATAAATATAAGCTGAAAGGCAAAAGATGGATCAAGTTGGCGTTCAATAAGCCAAGCAAATACCGACCCATGTATTTCCTTTTTTTTTTTTTGGCCCCCAAAACACAAGCTGTTGAAATATTATATTGCCACCGGATCAACGTCGGCGGTTTAGAGATCAATTTGCTCATAGCATTATCAAAAGGAATAGTTGTGAACTACATTGCAAGTTTTACAAGATCTATAGCACGCAAATAATATTTCAGAAACCTTGTAGCAGAAAGTAAAGTATACAATCAAGAGGCGTCCAGGGGTAATACCACGACTTTCAACATAGACTCTAGACTCCCAATGTTTTTCTCTCCATAATTGAGGAATTCTAAGCATCCCCATCAACATGCAATCTGCAAAACAATAGAATTTCTAAATACAAAGAACAAACCTATCACTATTAATATGGGCCTAAAATACCAAACAAAGTGTATTCAGGAACAATAAAAATCCATCTCAACATGCAATCTCCAAGACAATACCGATCTCAAAACACAAAACCTATCAATATTAATATTCGTATAGATTAAGAAACCCAGCCCGACGGCATTAAAATTAGGCTGTGATACGGATTTGCCAAGGACCCATTTTTGTATCAAAATAGCAGGGTAAATGCAATAGACATCAATTTAGTAAACTACATAAAGTTACAAACAACATTACAGCAAATAAAATTCCTAAACCATTCTACTGGTAAAATATACAAATTCACCAAACTTAAGTCAGCAATCGTTTGACATTTCAACTGAATAATGGAAAAACAGTATAATTGAATTAACCCCTCCCCGCATTTGTACCAAGATATGCTTAACTAATTCATGCTGCTAGTGCCACTAGTCACATCCAGTGATTTAATATAGAAAGCCATCAGATTGCAGCACTAGAACTACCTGAAAAACCATACCATCGCATCACAACACCAAATAGCAATTACTCATTTACTCCGCTACTAACAATTAGGTCACCAGAGAGTTCACAGCGAAGCTGCCAAGGTAAATTCCTTGGGCAGTAGGTTAACATAATCACAAACAACTCGCATTAACGTAGTATAGATCAGGCAACAAAAAGATAAAGTCAATAGTACATAAGCAGGTAACACATTCTATTACTAGTATTGAATGCTTTTAACAAGTGAAAGGAAGAACTATCGGAGATAATTGATAAAGTTTAAGTGCTTGCAATCTACACCGTGACTTATTATGAGCTGATTCACGGACATAAGACTGAAAACTTAATTGTACTTTATATTCAATCATCACAACAGGGTAAATTTATGTCTGAAAAAAAAGACTAGGAGATAAAAAACTGAACCTTAATTCACTTATTAGTTCACTGGTTCAAACTTGCGAAGCATTTCACAATGTGGCATTTCCCGGATATATCCCCATTGGCGGCGATGCCACTCAAGCCGACAATTCTCTCTAAGAATATTGAGGTAATCACTCTCAACCCTATCTTCAAGTGTTATTCGCTCATGGCTATTTGGTGGGTAGTCTTGATCAAATTTGGCCGACTTAACATAATAATTGACACCCTTTGGTGTAGTAAACCGATGTTCATATGGATACTGTCGAGAAAGTGAATAAATAGGATCTGAAGACGGCAAGAAGTTCAGAAGCAGAATAAGCAGAACAGGAAGCAACTGAATTAAAGCGCGAACATTAAAGCCGCTAGACCCATGTTCAGCTGGCCTTGGACCCATCCCCGGTCCAAAACTAAAGCCACCAAAAGGTGTTGCAGGAGCCATTCCACCAAAGAAGAAATTTCTAAATATTTCCTCCGCATCAATATCGGCTTCATAATACCCATTATATGCCCGTGTTGGCTGCCTTGCAGCACGTCTTTCGTAAATGGATTCATCCTCTCCAACAAGATCATACTTCTTACGACTCTCTTCATTACTTAGACACTGGAAAGCTTTAGACACAGCCTTAAACGCTTCCTCGGCACCAGGAGCTTTGTTCTTATCAGGATGAACCTTCAAAGACAATTTTCTGTACGCTTTACGCACATCCTCGACAGTACAACCCTTCTCTAATCCCAAAATCTCATAATAATTCTTCTTCCTCCTAATCTCTCTAACAATCGTGATTTGTTCGTCCGTATATGAAGCTGATGACGTAGAGGATGAAGACCCTGCTGTCGAAACCCTTTGACGGAGAGAAGGTTGACCAGCAGGCTTCGATGAAGACGTCACCGATGGTCCATTAGCAGACGCCGTCGGCGGTTGATCACTTGTATGTTTCTCTATCGCCACCAATAGATCGTCGACGGGCAAAGTGGGGTCAAGACGGCGAGCTTTGGTAACAAATTTCAAAGCGCGAGCCCGATCCCCGCTTTCTAATGCCTCTCTCCCAATTTTCAAGCATTTTAACGCATCGTCTTTGTTGCCATCCATCTCAGATTATCAAACTCAACAGATATTCAAACAGATCTTCAGAACCCTAGCGAAACCAAAGGCAAAAAAAGAAGAATTCACAGCTTCAGCAAAAGGAATAAACAATTATTGAATTAGAAAAATAGAAAATCATAATCAGAGAGCAAATTGAAGAGCCGAGCAATTTAATTCATCAGGCAAAACAAAGGTAAAGGGGTTTCGAGAATTATCCTTACTGATGGACCTCAGAGACGAGCGTCAATGAGGGGTTTTCCCCAAGGAAGAGAGTGATCAAAACTTCGCTCGATTAGGGCTTCATGCCCAGTGAGGCTACAGATCGATCTCTCTGATGCACGTTGAGTTTGTTATATCTCTCGAAGGAACACTCCTATTCCTATCGCCCTGCGCGATTGAAATGTCAGCTGCTAGTATTTTATACCTTTATTATGGGAGAAGAATATAACAGCAAGAATTATAACTGGTACTCCTCCGGTCCTAATTATAAGACCCAATTGACTTATTTGAGGAGATTAAGGAAGTAAGTTAAGTTGGTTATTTATAATAAATAAGTGTTGTCATTCCTAAAATATCCTTGCTAATTAAGTATATTGGCTAAAACTATCATTATTAGAAGGATTATCTTAGAAAAAAATGCATAAATATAAAAGACAAAATGGATTGGGGTCTTATAATTAGGACCAAATAAAAAGTCAAATTGGATCTTATAATAAGGACTGGAGGAGTATTACATTTAGGACAGGTTCTTTAAAAAATAAATATTTTTTATTATTATTTTAATTTTTTGAAACGAAAAAATGACATATTAAAAAAAGTTAAAAATTACAATATTCTCATTCATCAGACACCTAAAATTTTAAAATTTCAGAGAAGAAAGTGATGTCTAGTCTGGTATTTTGTAAATGCAGTGAAATGAGAAAAAATGCCATGGTATCAAAAAGTTAATTAACAAGTTGTGAACTGATAATGACAAGTGTTAAATAGTAAATGACAAGAAATACACAGACAATTACAAGTTATTTGTTGATAAGTTATAAGCTGATCATAATAAATATTGAACAACTAATAACAAGAAATATACTAGTCATTTTTTTTAAAAAAATTGATACAAACACTTTTAAGTCATTTGACTATATTTACAAAATACCAGATCATTTATCACTTCCTCCTTAAGAATTTCGACTTCTTAAGTGCCTAAATTTGAATATTACAATTTTTAACTTTTTTTTACGTCATTTTTCATTTTTAAAAAGTATATTATTATTTTACATTTAGATATATGCATTTAGATATTGTGTCAATTTTATCCCAAAATCGTTGGCCAAAAAAAATTCAAAATATATGTTGAAATTAAAAACTACTATCTCAGGTCCCTAATATAAAAGTTAATTTGCTATTCAATCTGCTCGTAAATATAAAATTTTAATCCACTTTATTTATCATAATTATTCCTTGTTCTTTAAGATAGCTTTTGTAGTAATTGCACATGTTAAATATTTCATCTAATGATAACTCTAGCTAATACACATTATTAGCAAAGGTATTTTAGGAAATACAACGCTTATTTATTATAAATAACTAATTTAACTAATTTTCTTAATTTATTTAAATTAGTCAACTAGCTTTTAAGCAAAACTAATTTAAAAGCCTTTTTTGACCAGCAAAACTAATTTAAAATATACTTAAACAAATAATATATAATATGATATTGTAAATATATAATATAAAAGAACTTGCCAAAATTCATATTAAAATCAAAACTGAACCCCTTACACTTGTTAGTTATTAATAATGATTTTGATTTGATAATAGTAATACTAATTTTCTCCTATTACTAAAATATAGAGAAAATCAGAATAAAGAACCTTAAAAAATAATATTTATTATAAAGGTCTATTAAAATATAAATTTGAAATGACTATATTGTCCATGACTTGACCTGATAATAGTAATACTAATTTTCCTCTATTATTCCCTTTGACTGCATCAAATATTTGACGGTTAGCTAGCTTGTTCCCCTCATTTCCCATTGGCCACTGCATCCATTCACACAGAATAGAAAGATGGGAAAATTTAAAAAAAAAAATACTGTGAAAATTACAAGATCTCAAATTAGATATTCTCACAAAAATGTGTTGTTATTTGCAAATTAATTATTGTTAAAACTATTTTAATGAATTTTGATTTTGAGTTGCCTAAGTTTTGAGTATTTGTGAAGTCCATTTTTTTGGCAGCAACGTTACAGGACTTTTTTTTTTTTGTTTTGTTTTGAATTTAGATGGCTGGCGTATCCCTTGAGAGGTGGGGGGATGCTAATGCCACT